TCTGGGAGTTGAAGTCCACTCATCTTAAAGTGGCCAAGTTTGGACAACACTGCTCTAAAGTCTTTGACTGAAATGTTCTAAGATACCAGAACTGGGCAGGCAGATACTTTATCCATCTCACAATGCATTGCTTTGAGGACCCCATCAGAACAACACATATAGGATAGCCAGTCAAGATAGCAAGTCACTCGGAAGAGCAAGGAGCAGGGACCTATCATAGGCATAATGAAGTGACTGTTGAAGGTAGTCACCATAATCATTACCCATCCTGGCCTACAACCTCAGTTGGCTGCTTCATTATTCTTGGTAGACCTGGCCATTTCTGTTACACTTCTTAATAATGTAACATGCCTTATACAGGACCTATTATGTGTCTAGTTTGGTAATTTTAGTGAATACAGAACAGCAGAACTGTTCTGAGAACAGAATACAGAACTTAGCAGCCAGGCTGGTCTCCAAATAGTGCTAAAAAAACTACTCAGATTTATCATTTAGTCATAGAAGGATTACAAAGCTCTGGTTATCATCCTTAAGATCCTGTATGGCATGGATCTAGGCTACTTGAGTGAACGTTTGTTCTTAGTTATTCCTCTTTATTCTCCAAGATTATATGAGGAGGTTCACCTTATAGTGGTATGTCTGGCCCCATAGAGTAAAAGGCTGGAATCCTCTGGGTCTACACAACTTCCTGCCGTAACAACATACTTACGGTGCTGATTTAGCTCTTTATGGCTTTTAAGAAGTCCTGCTATAAAAACACACTTTTTGAAAAAATATTTATTGCTTGGGATAGCTACTTGGTAGTTGCTGCTGTGACCACTGATCTTCCAGGAAGCAACTTGCTTGGTCTTCTCTCCCAAGCTATGGTCTGTGGGACAGATAGAGCTCCCATAACCTGTTCTTACAGAAATAAATAAAATCAAACTTTATTAAAAAGAAAAATGATCAAACATAAAGCCTATTTTAACTTCAAATATGAATAAGCAACCATTGTCTCTTAAAGAAGAGAAAGGGAGAGCTGACTTGATAAAACAGATGCTTCCAAAATTCTTAAAAAGGTGGGGGGGGGAATGAAACCAGATGCATGTTCCAGTGACACCACAAGGTGGAGCTGGTCTGTTACAAACTGCTCGTTTAATACTCATCTCAGGATCTTACAGAGCTCCAAGTTCATCATGCAGAAATAAAAACTGTAAAGTTTTGTTCATCAACATTATTCAAAATACATAGTGGGGAAACACACTAATCCTCAGTTTGGACTGAGCTTTAAGCAGAAAAGGCAAACAGCTTATCTAATACACACAGCAAAATAAAATAAAAAAGGTTTAATGCAATTTTCCTGGGTAAAACATTTACCTATTTCTGCAGAAACAAACTGAATTTTGATGCAAAGTCCTCTGCTCTTCCCTGGATCACCGTGGTTTTGGGGAATAATTCCTGCCATTTATTAGAACTGTTGGAGATACAGTTCTCTCCCTTGTTTTCCCAGCTCAGATGAAGCAGCTTCTTGTTCTCTGGGGTTATGCCTTTGTCTTAAGGATTCAAATCTCCTAAATCCTGCAAAGAGGGAGAAATTGGGGTATCTAAGTGACAGAAAGCATTCCTCCCCCAGTGCTGATTCTGCTTAAGATGGAAAAATGTGTATTCCCAGTCTGGGACGCTGCTGGGAATGCAGGCTGACATAACAACATACTTATGGTGCTGATTTATCTCTTAATGGCTTTTGAAGAACTCCTACTATAAAAACACACTTCTTACAAAATATTTATTGCTTTTACTGTTTGATTTTATCTGTGCTTCTAACTTTGTTTTTTATGTTTTCTTGCAAATGGCCGAAGGACTTCGGTCAGTGGTGTAATAGGTGTGATTTAATAAATAATGAAAGGTGTTATTTGGGGAGGTCAGGAAGAAATTTTCCTCTCTATTGCTCTTTTGAGCTCACAGAGGACACCATTTTGACCAAGAGAGAAGGTTGTTCGCCTATTTTATAGCTGATGCCAGGGTCACCATGTCTCTGAATAGCAATTGCTGGGAATGTGAGCAAGGGGGCACTATTGCTTTCAAGATAGGCTGGCCATAAGCTGGCTGCTCCTCCACCCCATAATGGCTAGACCAACTCTATCCACTCAAATACCTTTCTAATGCAGAGAAAGAGGGCGAATCTCTCCTTGCGTTACCCTGCAATGTGAAATATGCAGTTCAGGAAGGACTGCTTTCCTTAGACTAGGAAATTACACCCTGTTTCTCCATTATTGAGTGGATAGAGTAGTTCAGGGGTGGGATTCTCCTTCTCTGATAGAATCTATCCCACCCTATCTGTGTGTGCATGGGCTCAAGCACGCAAAGCATAATTTGATTCTTAGTCCAGTTTGGTTTCTGCAGTTGTTGCAGGATAATCTGTGATAGGGTAGAAGATTTTATTTTTACTGTTTCCACCAAATTTACTTTTGTTGGAAAGGAAATGGTGAAGTCAGCAAAAAGTTAAACTCCTCCCCCTACATTCTATTACTCTAATAATTCTCTCTGTGTGTCTCTTTCTCTCACCCATACTAACAGCCTGACTATCTGCATTTTAAAAATAGGCCTGTTAAATACAGTCAGTGTTGCATCAGTTTTGGCTCTTCCAAATGTTTGTCTTTTGGAAACATATTTCATACCACTATAATACACTTATAACTTCTTCCCTACTTTTTTCTTATTGATACCACCACAGGAATTACTATTACACGACCCAGTGATCTTCCTCCTAGTTCTTTCTTGAAAGTAAACCAAGATCATCTTGGTTTTTATCGTGTAAATTATGAAACCGAAGCCTGGCGTGTCTTAGCTGATATTATGAACAACAGCCATCAGGTCAGTCTGCTGAAATTAATCTTTTGATTCAGTTTTAGCGATGATTACGCACTGCATCTTAATTTTACACATCAGATATCAACTTCTTCTTCTTCTTTTTTCCTTCTTCTAGAACTTTAGTCTGGCTGATCGTGCTGGTTTTATAGATGATGCTTTTGCATTGGCCAGGTAGGCGTCATAATTAAATTAATGGAATAGGCAGTTTATCTGATGTTACATTACAAGTTAGCATAATTAGCTTGTAATTATAATTGTAATTAAATAATTAACATAATATTTAACTCAAGAAAGGTATGTGAACTGACACATGCAAGTACATTATAATTCATCCTCTTTCTGCTGAGGATGTGCAATTCTATGCACATTTAATTTGGAGTAATATCCAGCGAACTCAGAGAAACTTACTTCAGAGTAATTATACATGTTCTAGTTAGCCCTTTCATTCCTTAAGCTTACTCTCTCATTGTCATATTAATTCCCAAGGAGCTTTTTTGAGAAAAGAGATGGCTTCACTTATCCTTGGGTTCTGCAGTATAGATACTCTATGAGTTCTAGTATCAGTGAATCTGGAAGATATATACTTACTGAATCTGCAACTTGGAATGCTACTATCATTCCAATATTACCCTCTTTAAAATTTTGTGATGGTCTTTGTTCAAAACCATACCAAAATGTACATACTGTAAGTGGCATAATTTATAATAAAAAATGTTCAAAAAATGTATTTTGAGATAAGAATAAAATGAGAGAAAAACATGTGTTGCATTAATATTAATGCATATGCTGTATTCAAATGTATATTTAAATGCTTGTGCAGGTGTGTGTGTGTGTAATAGATTAATATAGAAACAGAAAGAAGCAGAGTTGTGAATAAACAGATCTGAAACTGATATAGACCAAAAATGAATTGTTCTGTTCTTTCTAAATTACTTTCACATGCCTTATTCTGAGAGTAGAAGAGGAAAAGAGACATTCAAAATTAGCATTTCACATGAGAGATCTTTTTAATATATTTCCCTCCCATGTTTCAAAATGTATTAAAGTCCAGCCTTTTTAAAAAACACTGTGTTTGGTCATGGACATAAAATCTGCAAGCTATATCTTTGTTTACCCCTTTTTTCCCTTGCTCCTTTGTTTTGAAACAATGAAATGCCTGTGTTCATCACAGGAATAATAATTTTCAACAGTCAGTCAAAACCTAAAGGCCCATTCCTTTTGCTTCCCCTATTTTTAACTTTAGATGCTATCAGAATGTTTTAAAAATGTGTAACAATAATCATTCCATTTATACCCTGTGACCCCAGAGCATTTGCCCCATTCTGGCACTCAGTCTTTTCCCCAGTTCCCTTCCTTTCAGTATGCTATAGTGGTCAAAACTATAGGACCTCCAAAACTGGAGGATGACTGGCGAGGGCCAACTGCAAGCCCCAACTCAGTCATGATGGCTTATTGGGTTACTTTGGGCCAGTTACTGTATCTTAGCCCAACCTACCCCACAGAGTTGTCACTGGGTAGGGGGAATTGGAGGATGTAGTACTGTATGGGCTTCGTTGACCTCCTGGATCAATGAATAACAGTGTATATTGTTACTAACAAATACCAATACCCTTGCTGGTTCTACCAACATTGTATGTATGTATATATGTATGTATGTATGTATGTATGTATGTATGTATCTGTATACAAGCAGCAAGGTTATTTGTGATAGATTATTGTAGCACTAAACCACAAGAGAAAGGAAAAGCTGTTTGAAGGACAAGGTAGTATGTTTTTGAAAGAGAAAACGTGGACTGTAGCAGCTGCACTGACTCCTTGCTTTCCAAGTCAAATTCAAAGTGTTAGTTTTAACTTATAACTCCTTTACAGTTTGGGTCGTGCTTACTGAAAGGTATGACTTAACCAATATGTGACCAACTAGGAGTTCCTTTCATCTCCTCAGGATCCGGAGGAGGCTGCCCAGAAAGGAGGCCCGGCTAGAAAGGACGAACCTCAGGGCCTTCTCAGTGGCAGCACCAATATTGTGCAATTCCTTCCCCTTGGAGGAGCAACCTTCATCCTCTCCAACTGCTTTTAAAAGAAATTTGAAAAGTTGCTTTTATAAACAACTTTTCTTGATTGACACTTTGTATTTATCATTTATGTTTGGTGGCTGTCTGGGCAATATTTTATGTAGTTTTATTGTTATTGTATTGCTTTTATGCTGTGTTTTATTAATTGAGGATTAGGTCATCAAATGTTGTGGGGTGGATAGAATTATAGTATCAAATAATTAATAAATAAATGATAGTCCATGGGATTTAATTTCCTGATAAGTTTTTTCATTTTCCTTGTTCTCCATTTCCCCTCTTAGAGCTGGACTTCTGAAGTATGCTGATGCACTGAACCTTACAAAATATCTGCAATATGAGGAAGAATACATACCATGGCAAAGAGCTGTAGTAGCCGTATCCTATATTGGACACATGATTGAAGATGATAATGCACTCTATCCCAAATTCCAGGTAAAGTTCCCTGTGAAACTGTATAATCCATGAAAACAACAATAAAATCTCTAGCCCTCATCTTCATTTACCTTCTGAAGAACTGACTGCATCAATTTGGACAAAAAAGTAGTACTACATTTCTGAAATGTATATTACAAGCTAAATGTGGGTTCTGCAACAAAGTGTTACTGTATGGAAGGTTCCTGTTCAGAAGTTCTATCTGCCCCAAATTGTATTCTTTTCACTGATATTCTGAATCGATTCTGTGGTTCTTTTTTGCAGCAATCAGCATTCTGTGAATACTAAACATGCTCCTTTGTTAGCAGGACATTTTAAAAGGGTTTGTCTTTTAGCAAATGTTAGAAGTGTTTGTGATGCTTATACAAATATAGTGATTCCTCCTAAACCCACCCATTTTTCTCCCTTATGAATGGATGGTGTAATTCTGGAGTGTGGATACTTGGAATATGAAAGACTGAAAGCAAAGTTGGCTTTATATTGCCTGTGTTAGTCTCTCTCCCACCCACACCCTTTGCCCCCCAAATCCATAAGCCATATGAAAGAAATACTTGTATTAGACCACATCAAAGTCACAAAACAGCATGTAAATGTTTGAGTTTTGAAGAGATTTGAAGAAGTCTTCATCAACAGAAAAGGGGAGGAAGAGAATTTGGTTGCTTTTTGAGTTATGTGCCTGCATGTAGTTACAATCTGATACAGAGCAGGAATAGGTGGCAGATATACAAATTGGTTTGTATCAAGTCATTTCAAATTTGCATTAATATTTCCACAGAGGCTCCCCAGAGTTGGTGAGGTTGATGATCATGATAGAAATGGAGGAAAGGAGCTTTTGATCTCTCATGTTTTAAACAAATAAATCCATTTTACTCCAGCCTATTTTCAATCTCTCAAAATACAGTAATCTTGATATTGGAAAACAGAAATAGAAAGAAGTTAGACAACTGAATTTGAAATAATTATAGGAAGGA